AAGCTTTAACCAAGTCGATTTTCGGAAAGACAGTTGTACCTTTCAAGGTAGCTGTCAAATCGTGAATATGGGGCAGCGGGTAACGATCGGGACTGGTTTTAGCATTCAGACGCCGATAATCACCAGTTGGCCGCCAATCACTGCTGTCCTTTTTAGGGACCATGTGCAATGGGGATGCCCATGGACTATTCGATGGTCGAATTATCCCTAGGCTCATAATGTGGTCGAATTCGTTTTTAGCTAACCTAAGCTTTTCGGGAGCGAGTCTTCGAGCTTTCGAAAATACAGGTGGTCCTGTAGTCGAGATGTGATGTGTAACATTGCTGGTTACACAAGGCAATGTCGATTGCGATTGGCATATCCCGGGGTATTTGTCGAGTACTGATTGGTACAATGGGTCTATGGTGTGCTTAATCGTGACTGGGGATAACCTGCAACCGGAACAAGGAGTTACGCAAACGGATAACTTAGTGTTTCCGTCTATTAACCTTCGTGAGCGTGTGCCGATGAGTAGATTGTGGTGTTGTAACAGGTCTATACCAATGATTGGCATAGAGACATCTGCAACCACGAAAATCCAGTGTATGGGTTTACGTAAACCTACGTTAAGGTAGACGTACCTTTTACCGTAAGTAGCGATCGGCTTTCTGTTTGCCACCTGTAAACTTAAAATAGACTCGCGAAGTCTGTCGTCGGGATTTGCTGGAAGAACGCTAACTTCTGCGCCAGTGTCGACGAGGTAGCGAACTTTCGTAGTCACATCCGTGACATATAAGAGGCGGCTGTGTTCGCCGGCTACGGTTGCCGTTAACGCGTGCCGGCTGGGAAGTTTCCCGAAATCTTATTCGTGTCAGTCGATTTTGAAGTCGGATAATTGCAAGGTTTCCTGCAATTTCTGGAAAACTTACCGTACTGGTTATGATACCAGCACCAGTCGGGATTGTCTGTCTCTCGTGGTCGAGAGCCAGATCGCCTACGTGAAACGCTTCTACGCGGGGTTTTTGACCGACTACGGACATTGCGAACTCTAAGATATCGTGTAAGCGTGTGACATAGTTCGGTTATGTCAGACGGGGTCGATCGAGGTTTTTCTTTGACGGAAAAAACCTCGGCCTTAGAAGATCTAGTGATTTCCAAGATTCGATCGACAGATGCAGCTAGTTCATCTATGGCATTGTTTTGAAATGAAACAAGCACTGCCTGCACCTGTTGAGGGAGTTTAGACAAGAAAAGTTGTCTAAATAGGCCATCATCGAAAGTTCGTTGGCCGATGACTTCTCTCATTCTAAGCAACATGTCCGTCGCAGAACCATGTTGCAAGTCGATATTGTTAAGGAGTTGGTCTAACCGTTGTCGATCAGTTAGGTCTCCTCATTTTAAAATCGATAGCTTAAGCGTTTCGTAAGGTTCGGGAACATCACTAGTAAACATACTAGGTGTTACGTACCTGTTAAACTCGCGCGGTAACGCCTTAACTACCGCGAGGAAACGTGTGCGCGAGTCCGTGATTCCGTGCATGCAAAAATCGGCTTCTGCATAGCAGAACCAGGACTCGATATTGTCGGGCCAAAATGGCGTTAACTGAATCGAAATAGGGGGAATAGACTTTAACTTAAAAACCTTGGGTGAGTGTTCCGTCATAGTAATATAGATGACGAAAAATGTCTAATTAAAATATATCCGGGAAAAAAAATTCGCGAAAAAAAGTATATCACAATATATAAAATTCAAATAAAGAATAACAATGAATAATAATATTCCAAAATGGAACAGACTCACAGTATATTGACTTGGTGTACCAGATCACGTCGGGTTCACCAATGAGGATGCAACGGGTATTCTAGTTTTACAACTAGCTACCAGTAGCACCTTCTATATTCGATCGTTCCCAGTCAGATAGAAATCAGAAGTCAGACGAGAAGAGGTAGGAAAGATATATTTGATTCGTTACCAATATATCGAGGACCTTTTCCATGAGCTGGCTAATGAAACGTAGGAGCTGTGTCCCACGCCGAGTTGAAACGTGATCTGGTGCGGATGCATGACCGAAAGCCTTCAGTTAAACAAGTCCACTTAAACAACGTGGTCAGCATCCAATGTCGAACACTTAATGAGCTATTGGTTTTGGGGAATTATTTACAGCTACAATATGAATGACTACTTTTCAAGAACTCTGTAATTTGATGTACCGTGAAATGAAAACATCCCTTCTCACCTATTTTTGAACTCAAAAATTAGCTCTGGAAATTTAATAAGTAATCTTAACTTAAATGTTCACAACACAGAGTTAAGAAATTAGATCAAAAAGTATAGCGATGCCACATTTTTGTTGCCGTACAGACGACCTAGACCGTTCCAACTTTCCTTCTCAATGTACAAATGGTTCAAATGATTGTCTTCAGCCTTTAATTTTCAGTAGTAATGATAGGTCAATCGACCCATACTAGTCACTGCACTTCGTATTGCTTTGAAGATACGATCTCTCTAAATGTACCACGAGAAGATGCTAGTGTTACGTGTTCTAGTAGTGAATGTTCGGACGCTATTTTTCTTCATAGAGTAAATCTTTTAGTTTTAACTGTAACCTAAGTTAAAAGGCTTCTTTCGTGTTTATTTAAGTTATGCTTTTAATTACAGTAGCATATAAGCTTTAGCCTTTTGTGTTCAGTAACTATGTCTTTTATTGTTCGGGAAAGTTACTCTGAAAATCGTTTTTTTGTTTCTCTTTTTTTATTTTTTCCACGCTTGAAGTTATTTTCCGTGTCGTTCTCTCTGTGAGTTCGTTTAACGATTTCAACGATACTAACAAAACATTGTTGTGGTAGACCTACATGTTTCTTTCCGGTCGGGGATGGAATACAGTGTGACAACTATTAAATGTTATCAAAGTGTGTACCAAAATCACACTGGCTGGTTAGAAGAGGTGTCGCAAGCTAAATCACTGTGGCTGGGCGAAGCCTTCTGCTCCACAAAGTCTCTGCTGATTCTTGAGGCGATTGAAATACTTTACAGTTAGAAAGATGTCGTCAGACAAACAGCTAGCATCAGATGAGCAGCTGCTGAGAAAATAACTAGCGTCGTCATTATTCCAATCTTAACCTCACGACATAGTGAGTAACTAATACTCGCATTTAGGCACGGTTACGAGGAACAAGACGAAACACAACGAAAAAGCAGATTGCGGAAAGCTCTAAAAATTTTGAGTTGGTATTTTTAGCTACAAAACCCGATACAGATCCCCAATAACAATACAACATAAATTATGTGGGAGCAAAGCCTATAAGTTGTAGAAGATTTGATCAAGAAACAAAATAAAGTCAGTAAACGGCCTGCACCTAGAAGACTAGGGGAAAAAGTGAGACCATTCCTGTTGCCTACCCACCACTATAAGTGGTGAGAAAAAGCACTTCACAGAATTTATGTCGTGTAGTACAAATGCCCGCAGCTTGCCAAATAAAATGGAGGGGCCAAAAATCGTGGTGGCCACAGAAAACCTTGATGGCATTTCCATCTCACATGCGTAGTTGGCATCAAAAGTGTATGATAATGAAACACAGTTGCTCAAGTTATAAGCTGTTGAGGCCAAAAAATTAAACGAAGCTTGAACTGAAAGGGTGGTGTTCATTTAGCGACTACTTGGCAAATATTCGTTGACAAGTAATGGGACCCTTCCTTTATTTAACCTGTTTATTTCACATGCATCGTTGTATTGACTGGAATTAATATGAGTTATTTTTAGCAACACCATTATGTATTTCATGATTGTCATTTTACATACGCATCAATGACTCAGGAATAGTTTTTCAACTTTCAAGTTGCACTTTTATTTCAATTATTTACTTCCTCATAAAACACATTAACACCGAATATCAGTCATTAATACTTCTACCTAACATAAAATAAACCTAACCATACACTTCCAAGCATATTAACTTATTTACATTAATACATATACAGATAAGTTTTTCCATCCTAATCATGTGATGGCCAACTACATAGATTTGACATAGCTGAAAACAATTTTATGTCAATGAATTCGCGAGACTGCTCAACAACCACCTATTTAACTACGGACTACTATACTCCAGAACACGAATGGTACTTACCCTACATTTGATCTTATAACAATGACATGTTTAGCAGTATATCAGCAATGGGACACTGTTTCCATAAATATGAAAACAAAAAGATGTGATAATAATTGTATGTCACAACTTAAAAAGAGTTGTGCATTATAATTTGGGTAGCGTTAAGTGTGCTTGAGTCATACGGGCACATTGTAGAGCCTCAAAATGTTTTGACGAAGATATGTTTAGGGTTTTATACCTCACCTATGTGAGACCACCCGAGCATTAAGTCCATGTCTTATTAAGAAGCCAAGATACTTGAGATTGCTTGATGTATGGAAACCAAGTTAGTGGGGAAGTTCCGAAACCTCCTATGACAGGTGGTTGGATCGTTCAAACATTTTCCACCATTTGTAGAAATCAAGGTGATCGTATATTGGGATTCTGCATCTTAGTGATTTAAGTGTTAACATGTTTATTGATATATGTTTCACTGGGGATGATCACCCACGAGACCATTGCAGGTAGGCTAATGAACTGTGATCGAACAAACTCACAGTGATATTCCGTCTTTGTTTTCTACCAGTTATTGACTAGAAAGCCATACCGAGACAAGAGGTATCAGCCTGGTCGGTAAATACTTTCAAAAAGAGGCTGTGCCTCCATTTGAAAACAAAATTACCGGTTTGGCGCAAGTTACAAGACCTGCTATATTTTCTACTGAAGACTGAAGACAGGTTCATCGATTAGACTGAAATTTCATTCCGAACCTTCAGTCATGTATGGGACTAAAGTTGGGCCTCAAACTTATGAAAAATATCAATCTTCGGGCTTATTATTAGCAGTGTTATGCGTATGTACAAATGTAAAATCCACTAGATTTTAAGGTGTTGTTTTTGTTTTACCGTACTTATGTCCACGTCTGTGGAGTTCAGTGGTAAGGGTTGGCACACTTATTGACATTATTGCGCATGTTGGCAAGTAGGGTCTCATGAGTGATCAGACATCTCTGCCGTATCAAGGTATATTTAACTTCAATATGTAAGTTCATATTACTGTTTATAATTAATTTCACGTTCCTAGTAATAACAGGTCAACGGACGCTCAGCACATGGTAAGTCGATATATGCATCTTGACACTTATGCTTTCAGGCAATGTCTTACTATGTAAGTCAATGGAGTGGTTTTATAATTGAATGTATTCACCATATTCATGTCATAAGACACTTCTAAGTCTGCTCTTCCAGTTCTATGATTGTAGAAAAGTGGTTATGTAGTAGTTTGTTTCTTTCAATTTCTCTTCTAATTTACTTAAATGCCTCTTGTTTTTACAGCCACAAACAGGTCCACGCTTAGGTAAGCCCACTGACTTAATAACTTTCCCCTAGAAAGTGTAGGCGTACCTGGTCCTAACCCGTTATATTCTATCCGCCACCCGGAACAACTGCAACGGGTTTTTTACGGCGGTATGCCACAACCTCATTGTTTTTACATGCCTGTCCCCGACGTTCAGTCGCATGACCAAATGGGTGTCGCTGCTCACACTGACTGTACTCAGTACCAACATGCTTTCGGCAACCCTGTTATCTCTCCTATCCAAACAATCCCCAACCAGGCAAGTGGAAACCAACTGTCTAATACTGCGCTATTTAAGCCAGTCCGTGAGAAAAAACCATTAAGTGTTTTTGATCCGGTAACAAAATCAGAAGTCAATCTAGAAGAAGCATCAAAAGTCCATTCTGAACCACGGAAGAAAGAACCATTAATTATACAACCTAAGGCAGATGAATCGCCTCCCATATCTCAAACAAAAGACGAAAACGAAAAACCTGTTTGCACTGAGTATAAAGATGAAGGTATATCAAGCGTAGAGACAACGTCACAAGAAGATGCCGCACCTAAAGAAAGTGTGACCTCAGACGACTTGTGTAATGAGGTTCTTGAGCATGTCAAATCACTAGATGAACGTTTGTCACAGGAAGACGAAACTGAGTTGGATGGTACAAGAGAAGAGGAAGCAAAAGAAGAGACAACAGACAGACAAAGATATCCACGTGACTTCATTCTTTCTTGTAAATCTTCAGACAAATCGTTAGATAACTATTGGGTAAGAAATTACTTTTCTAATTTTGATTTAATAAACAGAGAATCATGAATAGCCGTGAAAATATCATAAGGGTAAGTGCTCTTTAAATTCATTCTATCTTTTAGACTCGTAATCAATCTAATTATATGCACAAGAGCCGAGTTATTGAAATACCCACAACTATAACTATCAAGCGTGTAGAAGGTGCTTTCGTCCCGTCAAAACTTGTCAATCACGAAGCCAATAATGTAACAGATAGCTCAAAAGAGGTTGCTCGAGAGCTAAATATGATTTTGAACCGCGTTTCGGCTAGCAATTTAGAAGTAACTATTAGTGATATTGAGAAGCTTAACATCTCAACTCCTGAAGACCTCAGTTTATTGGCAAGAACCATTTTTCAAAAAGTAAGTCCAAGTGCTCACACTAGTTGATTTGTTCATTAGTGCAGTTAACTACATGGTAAAATATTACGAGTGCCACTGTTCATGTGTACGACCTGGTATATTTTCCTATTATGCTCTGGCTGTGTTTAGAAACACCGATTTCTTTAATACAGTGTCTATAGTTTCAATAAACCTGAAACAATATGAAGTGATAGTTTCCATATAAACTTTGCTAAGAACTAAGCACATCATACACGAAAAGTTTTAAATGTTATTCTTGTCCGTAAGTCGTGGACTTCTGATCTACTCAATTTCCGCCTCATGGAGGAATGCTCCGTCTACCTGCACCGGCTTGTGTGCCTAGAGAATTTCGGTATATGTATTAGTAAAAGATAACTGGAAGGGGACTTACAAATCGGCTGAATGAGGTAGATAGAAGTACTAGAGCGTTTATCAGTAGCTACCAGCAACTGTTTTTGATTTTTCAGGGGGTCAGCCTTCTCGAAATGCTCTTGCGTGCCGCGTGCATACAATTACTGCCAGGGAAGTTCTACTCACTGCCGTCTCGTGGCATTCCTGTTGTTTACAAAATTGAGAGGACGAAATGCAAATGTCCGACGCTTTGGTCGGGTTAGTGGCTCAGGAGAGTTCACTTAGAGGAGTTGAAAAACCTTGATTCCAAACTAGTAGTGAACGTGAACTCGAGGATCCTAAGAAAACAAATGTTATATGAACTCACCATGAGACTGCATCTCCTGATATTTCTCCGCTGCTTTGTGAATCAGATCTCTGGATCAAAGGCTCGAAGTGTGGCCCCCTAGGGAAACCACCCTTTAGACACCCGGACAGTATTACAGCCTACACACAAATCAAGTGAATTGTGTAGCCCATATGTGTTCCGTGCCCCTTTGAAATAATATTTTTATTCAAATAATAAAAGTAATTAAAATGTTGCAAATCTAAAACTCTTCAATTCACCGGAAACCAAGTTTCACTGTGGTTTCTATATATACTTATGTAAATATGATTAACTAAATCCAAGTTTTAGTCAAAGTAGGTTCTACAGGACCATCCTTTAGGATCCCTGACATCAACTCAGACTACTGATCACTTTCAATTTGATTACATAATTAAATTCGAAGCTTAAAACCCACTGTTGCCCTTACTGTAAGTATATGGTAAGCATTAAGCTGGTTAGCACTTTTCACCCATAGTTCCAGGGATCAATTCTTATAACAATACAGGGATATATTTCTTTACTTCTCTCACTTGTTTATCCTAAATTTTCACATATGCATTTATTGCTTTCCAGGTTATCAGGCAGTCAAAATACAGTAAAGTTTTCGCGAATTTATGTAAAGAGCTGAAAGGGGTATGTCTAACAAATTGCGTAATACCTTTTAGTTGGAAATACAGGGTTCAGAACGCTTTCCAGTGTTAATTCTGCAACAAACACAAGAGCTGTTTAACAAACCATTAGATGTATGTTCAAATATTGTCTGATCATCTTTCAGGTCCTGATAACTGAATTAAATGCTACCATTGATGCTAAAATTGCAGCAGCCAAGGATGAATCAATAAAACGGATGCTTGAAGATGATCGAGAGACAAACATTCAAAAGACAACTGATTCTTATTATGGAAATATGACGTTCATTGGTGAACTCTATCTTGTTGGATGTATTCCAATCAAAACTATGACTGAATGTCTAAAGAAATTGAAAGATTCTTCAGCTCCCGAGGCGTTAACCTCTCTCATAATCCTTCTAAATATATGTGGCAGTAATCTTGAAAAAAATTCCAAGTCTGTTTTGGATCTGTGCTTTAAGCGACTCGAACAACTAAAAGACTCGAAGAACATTGAGACTCATCAAATTTTCAAAGTACGAGAGCTAGTGGAATTACGTTCACGTGATTGGAAATCTGCTAATATTACCCAACCTCAACCACAAGTAGATACTTCTAGACGAAATACAGATGATAAACTAAAACGAAACTTCATTCAGTTAGATACAAGTAAGCTTCCTTAAAACTAAGTCAAATTTTCAGAACGTAAATCTGTTCAGTCAGTGAATCCCTTAACGCCTTCCAGTTTAGCTGTTACTCCACAATCCTACGATTCCCGAAAACTTGGTCCAACTGTGGCTAATTGGAGTCAAGGTAGTGGCTTACTACGGCCTTCTGAAGATAAGTAAGTTCTTAAAGTGAATTCATGTTTTTGTCAAATTACAAGAAGCAACCCAGTTTCGTTCATGTGATTACTTTTTACATAAACAGTGAGGCTTCATGTAATTAAATTGCATTTATCGTGATCACTCCACTAATGGAGTTGTACACTTCAATGCACACTACTGTCATATGAAAAGGGTTATTAGTAATATGATTTATCGTCATCTAGTCCTTCAAAACATTTTTATCCAAATTTGAGGTAGATTTCTTCATATTAAGCTTGGTTAGTATGTATAACTAGAATTTTTATTAGCAGTCATATTGCATGGAAAAAAATATGTATTATTACGTAGATGATTTTCAAGAGAATGAAACTAAACCTTAATTGCTCTTAAGTAGGATAAGCATCTTCGAGGTAATACAAGGTGTACTGCTATTCATCTTATAATTCATGGTTGTACAAAGACTAGTTACTATTTATAGTCCAAACTCAGTATCGCCGTTCACTTTATGCGAGTAGGAATTAACAGTAATTTAATGAGGATGCGTTTTCTTAACGTTAGGCTGATATAGTTGATAAATTCTCATAGCTTCTCGAGTTCCCGTAATGAAAAGCTGACCATTAACTTGTACGTTGATGTTTCAGATACCTATTATTCACCATTATCGTTATTTATCCTTTATCTGACTTTTGCCAAGCCATTCAAAACGCAATCTACAGTCAGTACATTCTCGTGAATCATCCCCACGTGTCCCTGTGGGACCACAGGGTGCATGGGCCCGTCCTTTGCCGGTAGGACAAAAAGTTAAGGAAAACGACTATGAATCGATGTTTGAGGAAACGAAGGGTTGCGCTCGTTCAATAGTGGATACAGTCTCAAGGTCGGATGATGAATGTGTACGTTTGAATCTAACATTTTGTGTAAATTTATTCCTAACTGACACTAGCGCTTAACCGTTCGGATGCATTTTAATAAGTTTGGCTGAAAATTGTCGCATTATACTGCTAGTGCCATTTCTATTTTCTGTATTTAAAACTTTATCGTGCATTACGATGTATTTTCACACATTAAATGTGATGCTCGTTTAGATATATAGCCTGTCTGTGCAAAAGTTTTTAGTGAAATCGTACGTTTCCAGCTTAATAGCGACAAATACAATAATGCTGGTATCTTCGTATACATAAATATCTGTTTTCTTAAGATTTGTGTAAGACGCAGGGTCAATCAATCAAGTTCAACGTACAACCTGGTACGTATGTACTTCACTTCAAGTTATACGCCACTAGCTACGTGACAAGTCTCAGTGGTAGAGGTAGTAGTGTTAGTCGTAACAGAAAAGATAAGGCGTCGAAGATACTATTCAAGGAAACATCAGTGAGATCAGAAAAAAGTGAGGAATTCAGGAGCCTAAGATCTAACGGAAGACAAAGTGGAAGCACCTACACTGTCGCAAATGATTTTGAATCACGTCACCCAGCGTCCCCAACCATCTAGTACGATAGTCACACGAACCACGACCAGGCAATCTACAAATTTCAATATTGCTCAATCCGATTTTCAATCACCTCACAACCTGGTTTGACAACTCTTAGTTTGCTTCCAACCCTCTTTTAGTCCAGACATCTCACCTCAAGATATATGGTGGTTGTGCATACGTAACACGTCCCAACCACGTCAGTTGATAAATATTTAGCTCCTCATCTATCTACTCGCCATCCTTATCTCGTACTGCTATGTTTAAAGAGATTACTAGTTCACCTAAATCTGCAAATGGAACGAAGACCCAGCGACACATGACCAAATAAGCTAACCATCCCAATGCGTTCCATCCCTGCTAACTAGAGAAAGTAGTCCAGGTTGAAACAAGGGAAAATGTATTGCACAAGCAGACGGAAGCACAACTCAAACATATACATACAGCATAAAGATACCATAGGGAAGCGTCACAAAATAGCATGTTAAAAGAGCCAACAAACCAATAACATTCAAAGTCCCCCAAAGTGAGAAATACGACATGAAAGTGAAAATAGGCGCTTTTGGCACGAAAACGAAACAATTCAAATTTCCACAATAAAACTACAAAAATAAGACATTTACCAGGTGAGTTCTGAAGATCTAGCATCCCCAACAAGTACCCTATCCCTAATCCAGACATTTCTTACTCGGTGACTTCAAAATACATGAACAATACACATGGTCGAATAGTAGTAACCTTCAAATATCCTCCATTTTTAAAGGTCATGTTTCACACTCGTACAATAATGCAAAGCAAGCTGCTACGCGTTCAACATGTTCCTTGGTTGATGGACGGATTTCTCGTATGCACCATAAGTGATGCAGGTATGCAAAGGCTTTTCGGATTTTCTAGATCCACGGTGGGGTTTCGTGAGACAGCCCATCAGATTTAAAGAGATTCCCAAGATAATTTTATGACATAAGATCTAAATCAATTGTAGTAGTCTATATACTTGTCTTCACCGTAAGTATACAAAAAGTGATTCGGAGTTCAAGATCTACGACAGTTCTGGTTGTGTATATTCAGTTTGAGGTTTGAATGATAGGAGCACTTGATACCGAACAATATTCTTATGCTCAGGCGTACTGATTAAATAAGTAATCGTTCTGCGTGTCAACAGATAAAAATCCGAAGAGCATTTTTCCACATCTAGTTTCATTAAACTTCTATATGCCATACTTTCTAAAGACTTCAAACTGTTTATTTTTTTCCTTTTAAGCATCATACTATTATTAAGTGTGAGCCTGAAAAACGATCGGCTTTACTCCACAATGTATTTGAGATTCTAATGGACTGCAACTCAAAAAAGCGAAATGAGGTTGGTCGCTTTTGTGTAGATATGCTTCACAAAGAAATCCTTACAGAAAATAATATTATTGCATCGTAAGTTTGTATATTGTTATTGAAATCGAACTCATCTTCATGAGCGTGTGTTACACGAAGGAATATTTGATAACAGCTGTTTTTTTATATAAAGGTCACATTAAATTGAATTAGGAGACTTTCAAAATGTGTTATTAGACACGTACAAAGTACATGATAGAAGTTTTCTGTGGAAACGCTTCAATTTTAAGTGCAAATATTATGTATACATATCTCATAACAACAGTTACGTAAATACCCGTTGATTTGTCAAAGTTGCATCATATAACCAACTTTTTACAATACTTCTTTAATGTACCACTGATTTTCTCTCTCAGATTGTTACAACGGAAGCTGCTTATTATGTACCAATGATTCTAATTGTCTCGGGAAACGTCTTTTAAAACATTCCTATCATAACTAACCAATAATATATAGTTGTGTAGTATTAGTCTGTTATGAGCGGTTAAGAGCGAACATTATATCCAACTTGCTTTATGTAAGTGAAAACTTCGTTTTTAAGTAATTTAATATAATTTATAATCCCATATTTAAATGTAAATTTTTCAGATGTGAAAACTTTTTCAAATTATGCGATGGTGACTGGATTTCAGATTATCCACAGGGTTGGCTTTACGTTGCAGAAATCCTTCATCATCTTATATGTGGCGAATCCAATTATATGACCACTCTTCTGCGGTCAGTTGAGTCTATCCGGTCTGATAACCGGGCTGCTGAATTGGTAGCAGACTGTATTAAGCTAAGCAAAGCATCTACAAGTGTTGAGCAACTTGTAAAGAAACTTCAGGCCTGTGACTTTATGTGGGACAAACTCGGTGTTACAGGAAGCAAAACTTGGGACTTTGCTTATGAGCGGTCCATAGAGTTCACCATATGCGGTGTTTATACACACGAATCTGGAAAACTCAATGAGCTTAATGAACTAACTACAAACCCTTCGTCCTCTGATAAAATTTCCAGTTATTTTAATTCACTATCTCAACATAAGCTGTCTAAATGGTTTATGCAATCGATCATGCCAATTTTGCTAAAATCTCCAGGTTTGTCAGTTTTTCAGTGTCATCAGTTGATTTTAAATCCCTATACTGAATTTTTCTGTTGTGGTCTAGATGTGGGTTTATGGCATCGTATTGAAGTAAAAAAACTTTGTATATGTTATATTAGGCTTGTTAAGTCTAAATGTACTATAGTTAACCTCAAAATTATCCATGTGAATACTCCTCTTCGTCAAAATGGATTCGTTTTTGATTATACCAGTGTGGTTGCAATTCTAGAGAACGTAGAAATTTGATTTCTGCGCACAGTCTTCAAAGCTAACTTATTCTTGTCTGTATTTGTATGTGGTCGGATTGCGCACATGATATACTTAGATTGTAATCAGCTTTTAAGATTGTCCGTCATGTCACTCTGTTTGTTTATTTTATCTGTATGGTGGTCATTATTTTTTTACTCTTGTACAGATCAATCAAAAGCGAAGATAGACTCGTTTGTGATGTCCCTCGGTATTTTGGTTGACCACAAGCCTGACAGAGAGTTTCACATTTTAAGTGGCTTTCAAGATCCGTCATCAAATCAAGGTAAATTTAATTTTATTCTTTAAGTGTTGTATCATCATTACCCCACCACTAAAATTTTGCAAAACATTAGTCACTGCAATATTCACCTCTATTTTATTTATTTATTTATTTAAACACATATTGGTGCAAAAGGGCACCAGATATATATGCGCCACACAAAATAATGAAAGTAGGAAGAGAAGGGATGAAAAGATAAGGCGGACTGAAATGTACAACCAGAAGACTCTTTCAGTTAAGAAAGTTAAAACCATTCTTTATGTAGAAAGTAAAAGAAGGTTGCAGCAGGATCGCCACTGGCTTCTATTCTGAGCCATATCTGATAACGTCTCTAGCCACTGTGTTGCACCATCTCTCGGACCCCAGCCAGGGAGTCGTGAAGGACCAACAGAAGCTAGCCCTTTGCAGCTCTCTTTCATGCCACGACACCATGTCATACACTGACCTCCTCTCCGCTTTTTCCAACCAGTCCCAGAGTCGGCAAATAATGCACGACGTGGAAGTCTCTGGGACGACATTCGTAAAACATGTCCAAGCCACCGAAGTCGGTGTTTCAAGATGGTGGCACCAATTGAATTATCGTCTCTGCGCCCGAACACACGATGCCGAACCTCTGCATTACTAACATGGTGTTGCCACTGGATGTCAGCAATGCTTCGGAGACAACGATGATCGAACACAGAGAGACGTCTAACATCCTCAACTCGGAGAGGCCAGGTTTCACAAGCATAGAGCAAACTGCTCTCACCGACGCGTTGTAAATCCGACCTTTTACAGCCAGACTAACATCACGAAGGCGCCAAAGATGGCCCAGATTGGAATAGGCAGCTCTGGCTTTCCTTATACGTGCATCAATCTCATCACTCACACCACCACCAGCATTTATGTAGCTACCTAGATACACGAACTTCTCAACTACTTCAATCTGCTCACCATCTAGGGTGAGTACAGGATTGGAATCCTGCCAGTCTTGTAGGAGTACTTTGCACTTGGAGGGTGCAAAGCACATGCCGTACCTGCGGACAGTGATTGCCAACTGATTAAGTGCGGATTGCATGCCTTGGGCATTATCGCACAGTAAGACAATAGCATCCGCATTCTCGAGGTCGAGAAGTCGTTCTCCCGGCAGCAGATTCACACCGCCATTACTTACATCCATCAGAGCTGTTTCCAGGATGTCGTCGATGGCAAAGTTGAAGAGGAATGGTGAGATCGGGCAAGCCTGCCTATATATATGTGAGTCAATCGTTCTCGGGTTTTAAACAAACTACGAAGAATGATAGAAGCCAATAGTTTGGACGCAATCGAAAGTAGACTTATCCCCCGGTAGTTATTGCAGGAACAACGTGAACCCTTTTTAAAGATAGGGACGACTATTGACTCATTCCAAGATGTTGGAACACTTTCTTGCTCCCAAACCTTTCCAAACAACACAGTCAACTCCTTAGTCAGAAGGTCACCACCATCTTTAAAAAGAGCCGGAGGTAAGTCATCTGGGCCCGGTGATTTGTAACGTTTCAAGAGTTAGAGTTCCTTGCGGACTTCCGCCTCGTTTGGTGGATCAGTCGTCACCGGCCATGGGGGGCAGGACAAACTGGTTGATGTTGCCGGAGCAGCAGGCCAATTGAACTGCCCTTCGACGAATTCCGCCCATCGTCCAAGACGTCGAGAGATGTTAGTGATTGGCATCCCGTCATCCTCGTAAATTGTTTCACTCACACCAGACTTCTTGCTGCCAGTGGCTCGGATGAGTTGGAGGAGCTTCCGGCAGTTACCAGATGCAGCTGCTGCTGTCACAGAGTCCACGAATAAGCGCACGTGAAACAAGCTTTTCGAAGCGACAGATGGAGAGCGAATTTGTAGTACTTCGCTAGAGTCTTGAATACGGGTCTCGGATAGACAGCAAACATCAACATTAAGACATTCTAGAGACATAGCCAGCCGCATCTGTTGTCCGATCTGCATTAGTGTGCGAACGTTGAAGGAAGCCAGCTTGAACGGCGTACGTGGTGTCAGAAAGACTGCTTCAGTATTCATAATCGGTGGAAGCATTCCCTTTCAACCAGACAGTGACTGGAGATCGTTTAGATAGGACAGAGTTTCCACCATGGGCGAGCTACTGCATAAGTTGGAAAAGAAGGATACACAATTTGGGAATAAAGGGAGTGAAAAAGCAACGTAGTAAATAATAATAATAATAATAATAATAATAATAGTGTAAATTGTCTTTCCTCTATTAGGAACGAGAGCAGTGCAGTTAGTATAGTGCGTCATTTCATGTCATTTGTGTGTGGGCTGTGATACTGCCTGGGTGTCCAAACCGATGCAGGTGGTTTTATTAGGGGGCCACACCCCGAGCCTTTGACCTGAAGGTCTAACCCAAAAGGCAATGGAGATTCGTGAAGAGATGCAGTACCATGGTAGCCGGTGACCAACGGGGGGTTCGTACGCCATTGTTCTTTCAGGATACTGGAGCCCATGTGCACCATTGGTTTGGAATCTGGATTTTCCATCTCCACTAGGTGAAACCCACACTCTTTCGTATTGGTGCCTTAAACTAGCGCCTTAGAGCGCTCGGCCACTCCACCCACTTCAACTCTAGCGACAATCTGAATTAGAATTACAGGTCAGTAGTATAAATTCATACCGACCGTTGCTGCTACCTTCACGTGGTGTTCGGGCTTGCCTATCGTGATGAACCAACTGAGCTATGCTGGCTGGAACAATCGTTCCTCAAGGTCCTACTATGCCAGGCAGGTCGGTTGAAGAGCGGCAAGACTAAAAGCAGCAAACCCAAGGTCAGAATGCGAAGTCGTGCTACTGACTGTACAGAGGTGCGACAGCAGTAAGGTGTTTCCTTCAGACAAGCAGCGTGACAGCATTGCTGCCTTCCCACAAGGAGGGGTGGGGTTAAAGTAGGTTGACCCTAAAAATACACACCTCGCCTTATCCCACGGATTTCCGTCTCCAGCGGTAAGGTGCTTTTAAGTACGGAGCTAAAACAAAGACTGACAAAAAGGTCGTGTGTGACCGACCTGAAGCAGTTGTCCCTTGGGCACTGTGGTCACGCTCTCAGATGATTAAGACCACTCCTAACCCAATTTCCTTTTCATGTACCTCTAGAAGAACCCTTCCACGACGTGGGCAACCGGGAAGTTATAACTGCCCTCATGCCTCTAACAGCACTGAAGATCACTGTATTCATAATCAATCTCCTTCAATTCCTACTATTCCTTCTACCTCAACTTTCAACACTAAACTTCCTCTTTCGGTTTCCTCCTCAAGTATCACTATGGCCAACGATTCTAGTGATCAAAACACTGTCACAGATCTAATAATTTTTATATCTATCCTGAGATCACATTCCAAAATATTCCTTTCACAGAAATTGATCATATTTACCTTGGCTTATATTTAGTAGTATTCGTGATGTACTATTGTGCATCGTGATTTTAATTTATATTTTCTTATTGTATTTTGTAGCTCTTGTCGGATCGTGGCTTACTTCGCTAGTTGAAAAGAAAGTGATATCGGCAGATGCTTTATCACAATGGAAAAAAAGTGATACTGATGGTTCTGTAGTCGAAATTCTCTCCGGTATCCCTGAATTAAGGAACTTATAGTGTTTTATTTTATCTTTTGATAATTCTTTTTATAAGAGCAGATTTTCTTTTTATCTAAATTGCTCACATAAGACAATGTGCTTAGTTATTATTGCTGAAGTGATTAAATAATAATAATTCGAAGCAATTATAAGTTAGCTTAATCAGTTGACCAAAATATAAAATAAATCATTGACTTAATTCACACTACCATTAGCGTAATACTGTACAATATTAGCATATTGATTGAGACATTTCATTCATTACAAGAATGTCACGTCACGTAAGCTTGTTCGTTGTTATCAAAATCTGAAAAAAAAACTAATGATGAGAATGGTTTTTGTTTCTAGCCTTATATCATAAACATGTACTTCAGTTTTATAATCTTCTTTATTATTTCCCCATATTCTCTCTCTTTGTACACACAACTATTTTTTAACATGAATACTGCCGTATTGGAAGTCGCAAATTATAGTACATTCTCTATTAGTTTTGTTGATTTATTCTTCTTGAAATGCATAAGTATTTCCATCAGTTATTGATCATTTTTTGTGATTGTCTTGACCAATTTTAAATAACTTCGTCCTTGATTATTGTGAAAACAAGAGAGATCGTTGAGCACGTTTTTTTTAATTATTCTTTCATCTGTATTGTCTAATTTGCTGGGGGCAATTTAATGACAGACACTTCTACTCATGTATAAAATACCAGTAGAAGATACCAACATATATATATATATATATAAACCCTTTATTTTTTTGTATTTAAAATGTCCTGTTTCACTTGTTCATATCCCTTTTACTGATAGTTATCATTCATTGCACAATATTAAATTTGGGCTTCTAAATGGCGTGATTTACTGTGAATATTCTTTCGTAATTGTAAATTGTGGCTATCAAAAACTTTATATGCTGTAATTCAATGTTGGGTTTTCGGTTCTTCTATAATTGTTCTATTGCGTGGTTGTTTTTTGTTTGTTTCCTTTTGTGTTTTGTTGCCTAGTTGTAAGGTGTTTTCTTATGTGTAGATTTTCCAATCTCCTTCAAATATCTAATCCATACTACTACTAATTAGAAAAAACATATTGACTACCCTTACTAACTCAAACGCACTTTGTATAAACAAATGTACCTTTGAATTATGAAATGTGTTTACCTTGGTTTTACGTCTCTTTACCAAAGTTCAACAGTATGATTTTCTAGCTTTGCTAAACGGGGTACTGGTTTCGATTACTACAAAGAAAATAAGTAAAGGTAGTACTTTTACTTTATTTTCTTTTTGTTTGAACCTTAGTGCTTAGAGATGCTAATTTGGTTGTTTGAAAGTAGGTACCAACATGTCTGTTTATAGTTAGGTCATTGTCTGCGTTTGCTGAATGCTATCGTTCCAAAAAATCAGAATTTGGCCATCATATTTGTTGACAAGGTCTCATTTGTTGCAAAACGCTTGATCATATTCGATCTCCATAGATATTTCAGGGGAATCGTAGTGAAATACTAACGTAAGTATTCATTTGATATTGTATTCCAAATAGAGAACATTGTTGTTCTGAAATTCCACTTTACAAATGACAGATTTTATATGTGGACTCCAGCTAATTTTTAGATAAGAGTAGCAAACAGCACGCGCTAGTTTTCGCTAATCATCCATTAGTTCTAAACGCACATTGCTAACTTACATGGAATGGACATGGATTCATTACCTAATCATATCTTGTGAGGAATGAATCACTAAACATCCTTTTGGGCAGGCGGTTCGATGCCTTACATTTTCTACCTGTTTGGTTAAGTACCGGATATTTCGGTTGTCTCGGTAGGTATAAGGTTTTAATTGAAATGAATGCTGTTATATGAGTAATTGCAAAATAATTGTTAATAGGTTGGCGGAACCCCCGTTAAATTAAATATACTAAGTAGTACATTTTGGGTTGTTGTAAGAAGGGTTTGTGATGTTATTATCTTAATTATTACTATATGTTAAGCTTACAAGCAGTTAAACACTGAAAGACTAAATCAAATGATCAACTCTGCACAAAAAAACATTACCTTGATATTTGTAAATGTACTCTCGTTGTAAGTATGGTAGTTGGTTTTCTTATAAATCAGTCAAAGTGGATGTGCCTGATTCATTTGCTTAAGTTGCCATTCTCCCGTTCGCAAAATTTAAGCTGTCCATTCATAATCAAACAAATTTTTCGACCAAAATTTCTGGGTTGTTAAGCCATCATTTAGTGTCCGGTGTAGCCTTTATTTGTCTGAACACAAATATTGGTTTAGTTCAAAATAAGTAATATTTTAATTATTTAAACAAATATTGGTATAAAAAGGGCATCAGATATGTGTGAGAGCTGTGATACTGCCCAGGTGCCTAAACCGAAACAGGTGGTTTTCTGAAGGGACCACACCCGGAGTCTTTGACCTAAAAGTCTGATCCACCAGGCAGTAGAGCATCGTATAGATGCAGTCCCATGGTAGCTGGTGACCAACAGTCGATTCATACTCCATTTGCTTCCTTAAGATTCTGGAGCCCATTTGAACTATTGGTTTGGAATCAGGGTTTCCCAACTCTCCTAGGGGGACTCCGTGTCCACTGACCTAGTTGAAGCGTCTGACATATGCTTTTCGTCCTCTCAATTTCGTAAAAGACAGTGATGCTACGAGAAGGCAGTGAACAGGAATTACCTGTCAGAGGCAATCTAGTGCGATCTAGATAACTTGATTAAGATGTTGCGGTGGGTTGTGCTTGAGTCTCAGCTTAAGAAAAATAAGTATACGACGAACGAAAAAGAAAGCCAGATTGTAAATATTGGGGAAAAGACGGTGTGTATAGTTAAGAACAAATGGTTTAATGATTTCAGAAAATCTTTGAAAAAGATACTTTCATTTAAATATCTTAATGTTTCATTCGTTACATAGAACATCTCCATAGCCCGCAACTGGCTATTATTTTTATTCGTATCTGGTAAGGTTCAAGGTCACTGCGTTGCACTATCTCTTATACTCCAATCAGGAGTTCAACCTTCGTTGTTTACCTCCCTGATGCGGAGTAGCCGAAGATCCTCGGCTTGGTTCAGGTTTCACAAGGACAGAGCGCGATCGCCCCATGACCGACGCGTTGGGTACCTGATCTTGTGTAGCTAGATGAAAGTCAACAATATGGAAGAGGGCCTATATTGGCATAGGCTGCTCTAGCTTTCATTATACGTAAGTTGATCGTGTCGCTTACACCGCCATCAGCTCTTACACACCTGCTCAATACACGAAGTTTTCTGTTGTTTCTATCTGCTCATTATCGGCAAATTGCTGACAGTCCTGTAAAAGTGGTTTGCACTTGGGAGGTGCTTAGCACATACCACACCTACGGATACTGGTAGCTATCTGACTAAGCGTAGGTCGTAAAGGTTGTTTATCCCCGTATAATAAGACTGTGCTACCTGCGTATTCAAGGTCGAAATGTCCAGGTAACATGCACGAATCACCGTTATCTACCTTCGTCAGAGCTGTTTCAAGGATGTCAACGATAGCAAAATTTAAATAGGGGTAGTGTGATTGTGTCACCTCGTCTAACTGCACTACTGAAGCGAAACAGCAGAGAAAGGATTGTATATGTCCTCACTTTATTTGAGGTGTATGCATATATAGCATTCGGGATGTTAGTAAACCTCAGATACATCAACAGACAAACCCAGACGACGCTCCTGTTCAATGGAACAAAAGTGGCTCTGTTATCAGGAAATAATATTTTTTGGTCTGCAGTAATTGTGGTTTTTCCCTATAATTTCGCTAAGAATGTAAGCATTTTCGGTGCATAGAACAAGACCAAAAAAACTGATCTGCTATTCGTGAGTCTGTCCTTCACTAGTTTTGGACGATGTGCGTGGAATGAGGAGAGCCAACAGTAAGGATGCGATAGGAAGTACATCTGTCCCCTATAGCCTCTTTTAAAAGAAAGGGAATGTATAAGGTAATTCGTCAGGGACTGCCAATTATCCCTCTACAGTTTGTAGTTCCCTGGAGCTCGTCGTAACTGGGTCAGTCGTCACCGGCCCTGGCAAACAGGACAGTCTGATTGATGTCACCAGGACAGTAGATCGGCTGAAGTGTATCTCAATGAACTCTGCCCATCATCCGCAACGTCAAAGGATGCTGCTGATTGATGTTCCTTCAATCACACATTGTTTCACTCAAACTAGACTTTCTGATGAAGGCTCGGATGAGTTGGAAGAGCTTATGGCAGTTTTCAGGTTCAACTACTGCTTCCGACTCGTTTGGAATCTACGACCAACAGCCTTACTGGTCCGTAATTAAGGATCTACTTTTATCGTCGAACCTTTTTCCAACTTGCTATGCTGGTCGTTGAGTAACGTCGTGGTAAACAATGGATTGACATGCGCAATATTTTTCTTAACCGTGTTCGACTTATATACGTGGTACCCTGAGTTTTATAATAATATAATACTCAGTGTTATCACTGTACATTAATAATGCTTTTGCAGTCAATTACTAGGCTTGTGTTTATGAAATGAAATCAAAATATCGAAGGGAATTACTGACTTCGTGATTGAGTAATATTGAAGTAGGTTTGTTGCTGATTGGTTCTCACTATTTGTCTACATCAAATCTGAAATTGAATGATAGTTTAACTTCATCATTCATGTTTTTTTCATGAGATGTTTACCTACTTATCCATTTCACAAAACATTACTTCGAACTAAAGTCACTAATATGGCGTGAGTGACATGTATAATAACAGTTCAAATGTGCTTTTATTCTGTTATAACTTTAGCCGGTTAAAACTTATTTGTTTTTGCATCTTAAAACATTAAGGAATGGTTGTTACCAAGCTTACATCTTATGTGTTTACTTAGTTTGAGTCTTACAGAGGCTGAGTGGAACTAAACCTTCAGATTTAAATTTATTGATCACTAAAATCATATCTTTTGATGTTATTTATCAATGACATAAGTGAGTATTACAATACTCCATGGTTATATCATTTGTATGGGTATTAGGATTGAATTAGCTGGTTATTTATTTGAACACATAAATATTGATACAAAGAGGCACCAGATACATATGTGCCGCATAAATCTCATTCGATTTGTATGAGGGCTATAATACTGTTCGGGTGTCCAGACCGAACCAGGTGGTTTTATTAGGGGCCACACTCCGAGCCTTCCACCTAAAGGCCTGACCCAAAAGGCAATGGAGCATCGTGAGGAGATACAGTCCCATGGTAGACGGTGACCAACAATTGGTTCAAACGTCATTTGTTACCTCAGGGTACTGGAGCCCATGTGCACCATTGGTTTGGAATCAGGATTTTCCAACTCCCCTAGGTGGACTCACATTGTCCACCAACCCGGTTAAAGCGCCGGACATTTGCTTTTCGTTCTCTCAATTTCGTGAACAACAGTGATGCCACGAGAAGGCAGTGAGTAGAACTTTCCTGTCAGAGGCTATATATTCGCGTGGGCATGTGAGTGTTTGGAGAAGGAGGGTGGCCCCTCCTCACTCTTGGCCGTACCAGGGCATTTGGGGGCCAATTGCCTCGTAGTATATTTTCAACGACGATATGTTAATGTTTCAAGAGTATTCTTTGGTAACGAAGTACGAAAATGAAGTGGAAGTCATTAAATCAACCTAAAAATAATATTGGTGTTTGTATTTGGTCATCCACTCGAAGTACACTTCAATATTTCGTGATGTCAGCATATCTCTCAATTAAATTATTTTATATCAGTGTCGTGTCCATGAAATAGATAACTGTCGTCTACTTGTACGTTTACTGAAGTTACCTACTATTTTAATATTCTTCTCATGAAGTTGTTTGAATTGATGCAATGCCCATTCACATTGTTCGACGTAACAGGTTATCTGAAATGTCCAACATTTATGGTAGTATTCGTATTACGAAAGACTATTGCCAATTGAACAATGTAAAGAGGCTTATGTAGAAAACTTTTAGTTATTCTTAATGCCACGCTTGAATTGGAACGATAATCTTCGGAATATATTATTAGTAAACAGTGAAAGGGATTTCAATCGTCGAGCTAAACTCTTCTGCTGCCCTATATGTATCAAGATGCATACACTGAAGCCGGTTACTCTTAATGTATGATTTTATATATCCCCAAATTATTGCAACCAAACCAAAATGAACTTATTTTATGTACATTTAAATATTCTATATAACATGATTTTTCTACTTTTCAATCGCCTTCTTATTGTCACAGCACTTTTTTTTTTACATATTTTCGAAATTCATGTCAGTCAGATGTGGACCTGAAGCGTTATGAGACTTTAAGAATGACGAATATTCCATGTTATATGACACTTTCATCTAGCTGACTAGTAAAACACTCATTACGAGGATTGTTTGAAATAATACACATTACATCTTGATGAGATGATAAGACCATGTAGTTTGTGTATACACTATTGTTGCATAGTATTATAGATAACTCAATACAGTATGATATGAAAGTGAGTGATAAAACAACATTAAAACTGATGTATGAACATCCGGTTGATGAGTCCCACATAGGACGAAATGCCCATCTTGGATTTCACCTCTAATGACTATCTAAATCTGACTTAGAAAATAATAGTTACTTGGTTGACATGGATTAAATTACAAATATTTACCATGTATGTTCATTAATATAACATAAACCATGAGTTTAATCACCTATTCCAGTATGGGTACTGAACTTTACAGAATAAATTTCTGTAAAGTGGGGTGTGTTAAATATCAACATTTTAGGATGTATGTTAATGAAGTAGACATTTTCTGACTCGATTTCTAATTAAAAATGTATACAAACAGTTTAAGTTTTTATTAGAATAGGGATTGTGAAGATTGTAGTAATCTAATAGCTGAATTCATGAGCCGATTAAAGCTAGAGCACCATGGAAAACCTAGAAGCACTGGACGGTCGTTTTATCCTAGTATGAGACTCCTGAGCAACATTGGTGGACGGTGGCGCAATATCGTGGATTGGTTGAAGTTAGACATTAATAGCAGTGGATGGCGGCTGAGTGGTCTTAGAGGTTAAGTGTTCGTGCTCGAGACCTAAGTTCCTGGGTTCGAGTATCTCATATGGGATTGTGGGTGCTCACTACTGAGAAGTCTTAGTCTTGTTAGATATTAATTCTTCACAGTTATAGCACAGGTGTTGTTTTCTGGTATCCATCTGGATAACATAAGAATAGCGAATTAGTAGTCATGTTTATACATA